CGAAATCAATTTTGATGATAGGGAACACTAAAGTTGGACCCCTAAATATGTGAAATGTTATCTCCCCCAAAAGTTCTGTTCTTCTCATTAGTAGACCTGTATCCCCCCAAAATTATACTCAATTATTGTTTCTATTATATTTTGAATGTCATCGGTAAAAATTTTCTGGAAATTTTTTTCTCTTGTTATATAAGTATCTACATAATCCTTGATATTGTCTCTTGGCCCCCAAATCCTACAATATTTACTCTCTGGGCATTTGCAGAAAAAGTCCGGCAACCCCTACACTAGAACCTTGATGTCTTCAAAAAGTATTGAGAGAATTAAATAAGAAAAATAGAGGCTGAGGGCTTGTGGTGGTGGTGGTGGTGAAGGGATTGGTTCATTTGAGGGTTTTCAGAGATGAAAGAGGAAGGAGGGTAAAAGGAATTTAGTAGTGTAGAAAAAAGAAAGAAGGGAGTGAAATTTGCTACTTCTCATAATTAGGCTGTGTGAGAAGAGTATATAAACATGTAGGAAGGGAAAGTCATCAGATGAATTTCACTCTTATCTGAAACAGAAAAAGGAAGGCTGGATGAACATACACACACATATGAGTTTGGTGTAGAAATAAATCACACTTTAACACAGAAACAAGTGTGTGTGGGGGAATAAGAGAGAAAATAATATCAGGGAAGGAATTTTTAGTTTTTTGAACAAAACAATCTTCCAGATCCTGAATGGGGATTAAAAGGGAAAGGAAAAGAACTAGAAACAAAGACTTGATGGAGGATGTCCATCAACTGGGGAATAGCTGAACAAAATGTGGTATGTGAATATAATGGAATATTATTACATTTTAAGAGATTTTAAAAATATATAGTTTCAGAGAATCTTAGGTTGATGAACAGTGAAGTGCGCTCACCAGGAGAACAAGCTATATAAGAAGACCAACATTGCAAAGAAAAAGAACTTTGAGAAAAATTTCCCCCTTCTACCTCTCCCTTCCCTTCTTAGAATGCATCCCTCTTTCTCACCCCCTTTGTTCGTTTTTGGAGATCATTCCAATATAATTGACACCCTTCCATACCCTATGTCTATGTAAACTTCCTGTCACTGCCCTTAGGAGTTACATGTATTATTTTCCCATATAGGAATGTAAACAGTTTAACCTTATTGAGTCCTTTATAATTTCTCTTTCATGTTCACTGTTTAATGCTTCTCAGGAGTCTTATGTTTGAACATCACACTTTCTATTTACCTCTGGTCTTTTCACTAGGAATGCTTGAAACTCCTCTAATTAAATATCCATTCCCCCCCCCCCCCAAGGATTATACTCAGTTTTGCTGGGTAGGTGATTCTTGGTTGTAATCCTAGCTTCCTTGCAATGGAGAATATCATATTCTAAGCCTTCTGCTTCTTTAACATGAAAGCCGCTAAATCTTGTGAAACGCTGACTGTGGCTCCATGATATTTGAATGGTTTCTTTCTGGCTGCTTGCAATATTTTCTCCTTGACCAGGGAGCTCTGGAATTTGGCTATAATATTCTTGGGAGTTTTATTTTTTGGATCTCTTTCAGGAAGTAATTGGTGGATTACTTCAATTTCTATTTTACCCTCTGGATATAAGATATCAGGGCAATTTTCCTTTATAATTTCTTGAAATATGATGTCTAGACTCTTTCTTGATAATGACTTTCAGATAGTCTAATAATTCTTAAATTATCTCTTCTTGATTTATTTCCCTGGTTAGTTGTTTTTCTGATAAGATATTTCACATTTTTTCTATTTTTTTTCATTCTTTTGACTTCGTTTTATTGTTTCTTGATATCTCGTGGAATCATTAGCTACCACTTGTCCAATTCTAATTTTTAAGTACTTATTTTCTTCAGTGAGATTTTGTACCTCTTTTTTCCATTTGGCCAATTGTTTCTTCAGTGAATTTTTGTACCTCTTTTACCATTAAGCCAATTTAGTTTTTTAAGGTGTTATTTTCTTCAAATTTTTTTTGTGCCTCTTTTACCAAGCTATTAATTTTCTTTTCATAATTTCTTGTATTACTCTCTTTTTTTCTCTACCACTCTTATGCCTTTCTTTAACTCTTCCAGGAATTCTTGTTTGGCTTATGTCAAATTAGCATTTTTCTTTTTTTTTTTTAATAATTAATTTATTTTTAGTTTTCAACATTCACTTCCATAAGATTTTCAGTTTAAAATTTTCTTCCCCTTCCTTTCCTTTCCCCCCACCCAAGACAGCATGCAATCTGATATAGGCTCTACTTATACATTCATATTAAGCATTATTTTCCCATTAGTCATGATGTAAAAAACAATTAGAACTAATGGGAGGAACCACAAGAATGAAGCAAGAAAACAAAACAACAAAGAAAAAGGAGAGCAAACAATATGCTTCCATCTGCATTCAAACACCGTAGTTCTTTCTCTGGATGTGGATAGCATTTTCCATCATGAGTCTTTTGGAGTTGTCTTAGATCCTTGCATTGCTGAGAAGAGCCAAGTCTATCAAAGTCAGTCATTGCATAGTGTGGCTGTTACCATGTACAATGTTCTCCTGGTTCTGCTCATTTCACTCAGCATCAGTCCATGTAAGTCTTTCCAGGTTTTTCTGAAGTCTGCCTGTTTATCATTTCTTATAGCATCCTGTTACATTCATATACCACAACTTGTTCAGCCATTCCCCAATTGATGGGCATCCCCTCAATTTCCAATTCTTTGCTACCACAATAAGAGCTGCTATAAATATTTTTGTATATGTGGGTTCTTTTCCCGTTTTTATGATCTCTTTGGCATACAGACCTAGAAGTGGTATTGCTGGGTCAAAGGGTATGCACAATTTTATAGCCCTTTGGGCATAGTTCCAAATTGCTCTCCAGAATGGTTGGATGAGTTCACAACTCCACCAACAACGCATTAGTGTTCCAATTTTCCCACATCTTTTCCAACATTTATCATTGTCCTGTTTTGTCACATTAGCCAATCTGATAGGTGTGATGTGGTACCTCAGAGTCATTTTGATTTGCATTTCTCTAATTAATAGTGACTTAGAACATTTTTTCTTTTCTTTTCTTTTTTTTTTTTTGGTTGGGCAATGGGGGTTAAGTGACTTGCCCAGGGTCACACAGCTAGTAAGTGTTATGTGTCTGACTCTGGATTTGAACTGGGGTCCTCCTGAATCCAGGGCTGATGCTCTATCCACTGCACCACCTAGCTGCCCCGCAGAACATTTTTTTCATATGACAATAGATAGCTTTAATTTCTTCCTCTGAAAATTGCCTGTTTATATCCTTTGATCATTTATCAATTGGGGAATGACCAAATTAGCATTTTTCTTTGAGGCTTTGGTAGTAGCTATTTCTGCATTATTGTTTTCTGAGTTTATGTCTTCATCTTCCCTGCCACCATATCATCAAGTTCTTTTTTTGTTGTTTGCTCATTTTTCTAACCTATTTCTTGAATTTGAACTTTATGTGAAAGTTCTGCTCACCTGGGTCTGGGGAGGTACTGTTCCAAGCTTCAAGCTTTTTTGAACTGCTGTTTTCAGAACTAGTTTTGGGGCAAGGGGGGTGTGCAAGTTTTTGGTGCTTCCAAGGTGGTGTGATCTGGGAAGATGTGTGGTCCCTGCCTTCCTGCAGCCACAAACATTAGTGCTTCTCTTGGCCCTGGAACTGAGACCAGGGCCCCTGCTCCCTTGTGATCGACCACAAGTGTACTTCTAGACCCTGGAACTGGGACCCAGAACTCTGTATGGGCAATAGAGTTGTCATCAGTGCCTGCTATATCCAGTGCCAGCAATGGGCTCCGGTAATCTTTTTCTGACCAATTGACCAACCCCCTTACCACATGTGAGCTGAGAGCTCCTGAAACTGCTGCTGCTGAGGCCACTGTTGCTGTTGCTTACCTGTGTGCTCCAAACAGGCCTCTATACAGGTGTCTTAGACCTCTCCTTCAGATCTCCTAAGTTTTCTTAGGTCAGAAAAGTGTTTCAACCTGACCTTTTGTTATCTCTGCCACTCCAAAATTTGACTTGAAGAGTTATTTTAAAGTTGTTTAGAGGGGAATGTTGAGAGAGTTCAGCTGGGTTGCTGCCTCTAATCTGCCATTACATACTTTTTTTTTTTAAAAAGCAAGCAATATGTAATAGAGATTCAGTTTCATAAATAATTTCTGTGTTCCACTGTGTATATGGAAATATTCTTTTTTGGCATTAAAGTACAGAATAAAATATTTATATTTAAAAAATGAATAAATGAGAGAAAGCAAGAGTGTTTGGAAAGCCAGATTTATTTGTCTGAATCCCTATTCAGGTGAGGCCTGAGGTGAGGGCAGAGGGAGTGAGTGGGACGGGCAGGCAGAGCCTCTTAAATCATGCCCTGTCCTCATCCGCCTAAGACCCAGCATGGGTCTGGCTCTAGCTCTGCTCCCAACCTATTTGCAGGTTAGAGATTCAGCGTGTGTGTGTGTGGTCCCCATCTGTACTGGGACCCTAGCATTGCGCCTTCCCTTCCACATCAGTACAGGGATTCCTGCCAAAGCGGCTGTAAATAACAACCCAGGAGATAGAGCGCGTCAGGATGCTTGGGCTAGGCTGGCAGGTAGGAGGTAAGCCGCATCCTGTCTCTTAGCTCAGAATTTTGCTCATTCTTCCAGAAGCTTTCACAGGTAGGGCTGTGTATGTCCTTCCCCTAGCTTCACTGCCCAACGTGGGGCACTTTCAGCAGCACCTCAATCTCAGCATGTAGGGCAGAGTCAGCATTCCAATTCCTTTTTCTCTCCGGGAGTGGGAAGGCGGGGGTTTCGTCTTCTAAGGCTGGAGAATCTGCGCGCCTGCGCATAGGCCACGCGAGCAGCTTAGCGGGCGGGGCCACAGCGCGCTCAGAGCTGGAGGGCGGGGAGGGGCGGGCGGGCGCAGTGGAGGGAACAGAGAGGGCGGGGCCGGTGCACGCTTGCGCAGAAGGGGCGGCCCTGGCGCGAGCGGGGGGCGGGGTCCCCAGGACGGTGGCCGGGAGAGCGCAGAGTAGGGAGCGATTCCCGGTCGGGACGGGGATGGCGGCCGGCATGGAGTACCTGGAACGTTGCTCATGGTTTCTCCGGACTACGCTGGTGCGGGCGGCCGTGCGGCGCTACCTGCCTTGGGCGCTGCTCGCCTTCATGCTGGGCGGCTCTCTAGTCAAGGAGTTCTCCCCGCTGCCCCCAAGCTACCTCAGCAACAAGCGCAACGTCTTCAACGTGTGAGTGTGGTCTTCGCCTTCCGTTGGGTCGTGACCTATTGGGTCAGTCGCAACAGATCGAGGCCGGGGAGGGCTCCCGACTGGGAGGTGCACGAGGATGGGTCGGGTCGTCCCAGAGCGCCCTTTCTGAGGGTGGTGTTGGGAGTGTCTATCGCGACATGAAGATGTCGAATGGGAGATGGGGTTGTCAAGCGACAGCGAGGCTCAGACCTGATCGCCCTGGGACGTGGAGGGCGGCGGGGCCGGGGCTTGTAGGTGAGAACGACCGAAGCCCCGGCTGCCAGGTCATTGGCCCTAGAGCTGGAAGGGACTTTCGAGATCGTCTCCCGCAGGTCCCATTTTTTTCAGATGAGGAAACTGAGGCCCAGGGAGGGGAAGTGACTCCCCCAGGGTCCTCCAAGTGGAGCTCGGATTAGAACCCAGGTCCCTCCGACTCCAAACCCCTTTTTGGAAACGGAAGGAAATTGAGTGTTGTGGTCACCCTCTCCCCATTCCACCCCCCACTGTCGCGACTAACTCACTTTTGGTCAAATTACCCTCGGGGCAAGTCACTTCGCCTGAATGTGGGCCCGTTTCTTGGTCTATTAAAAAAAGGGTTTGGACAAGTCGGTCTGGGATCTGTGTGCTTGACCTTCATCGATTATTGGCGTGTGATTGTGCAGCCTCTGAATCTAGGATGACTGGGAGATGCGGGTCAGGCCGGGACACCCCTGGGCCTGGCAGGTCTGCCGATTTCAGCTGCACCCAGTGAACTTTCCCCTGGATTTTCCTGAAACCTTAGTCACCCGCTGTAAAGTTCATTCTCCTTGGTGTGTGACCGTGGCTTTGGGGCAAGTCTCCCAACCGAACAAACTTCAGGGAAGAACCCAAGACCCGCTGCAAGCAACCGGTTGTTTCTTTGGTTTTCAGGATATTTTCAGCTCTCTTCCTCTCTGGCAGCTGCTGAGAGCCAAATTCTTTGCACCAAGCAGGTATCAGTGCTCATTAATCAGCCCTGGAACTTTGGCATGTAGCAATGATTGACTTGGAACTTTATATTTCTTGGGCAATGTCAAAAACCTTTGAGGCTGGTTGGGTGCTGGCCTTAGTTGATCTTGTGCCCTTGGATTGCACATCCACCTTGAGAAACTGGTCTAAGAATAGATTGTGAAAGGGGTTGATTAGAAATGGTGACACATTCCCACTGTCCATTTGGCCTGTGAGTTGATAGTCTTACTAGGGAAAGGGGGCCATCTGTTGTATCCTTTCCTGGGTGTTGCCAGTGAGACAGTTTCTTGTTGTTTTGGGGAGATCCTTAACTTCTGCTACTTTGTTCCAGGCTTTTGTTATGACTAGTGAGATGAATGGAATTCCCATGGGACTAACCCTAATTCAGGAGGCCTATTCTATGTCTTTGGTGCTGTTGACAAAGTCGTGCAGAATATTTAACCAGTTCCCATTCTGCTTTTTACTTAGAGAAGGCTGTATGGTATAATGGAAATAATAATGATGAAAATAATTGTAGCAGGTCATGTTTCTAAAGCACTTTACAATTTACACAGTGCCTCTTGTATTTTATAATAAAAACTTACTTTTATGTAACCTTTTGACATTTACAAAGCATCCTCTGGTAAGGCACAAGTAATATTATCCGATGAGGAAATTGACCCTCAGAGAGGGGACGTGATTTGCCCGTAATTAGACCAGGTGAGGCAGCATGGCATAGAGGATGAATACTGGACTTGAGATTTGGAAGACCTGCGTTCAACTCCTGCCTCTGACCCTTCCTAGTCACGTGCCCTTGGGCAAGTCACTTCACTTCAGTGTTCTTTGTAAAATGAGGAAGGTGGAGTTGATGATCCAGGCCCCCTTACAGTTCTAAACCTACAATTCTGGTTTCTTAGTCAATTATTGAACCTGTGTCTCCTGACTCCATGTCCAGTGGGCTTTTTTTTTTTCTACTACAGTATACCATGCTGTTTCTTATTTCATTCTTACAATATTACTATCAGGTACGTAATGAAAGTAATTGTTATCCCTACTTTATAAAAGGGAAAATGGAGACTCAGATGAGTGAAATGAATTGCTTATGATCACGTGGCTGGTGAGTGGTAGACTCAGAATTTTTATTATCTATAGCACTCACTAGCTATGTGACCTTGGACAAGTAACCAACACCCTGAGTCTCAGTTTCTCCATCTGTAAAGAAAAAGAGGGAAGGGGTTAGTTGGATTAAATGATCTTCACAGCTCTGATATTCTATATTCTGAGTTGAAAGACTTGAATTAATGGCTGTATTTTTTTCCCTCCTTATCCCTCTGTTTCTACTTTATTCTCTGCCAGGTATTTTGTCAAAGTGGCCTGGGGTTGGACCTTCATTCTCCTCCTGCCTTTCATTGCCCTTACCAACTATCATCTGACAGGGAAGGCTGGTGTAGTCCTCAAGCGGCTGTGCATACTTCTGGTGGGGACAGCGATCTGGTATGTCAGTACAAGTGTCTTCTTGCACATTGAATACTTCACAGGCAGCTGCTACAAATCACCTGCCCTGGAGAGTGTCCAAAAGGAGTATAACAGCAAGGAGGACTGCCGTAAAGGTGGCGGATTCTGGCATGGCTTTGACATCTCTGGCCACTCCTTCCTTCTGACCTACTGTGCTCTGGTCATTGTGGAGGAGATGGCTGTTCTGCAAGAGGTCACGATGGACAGGAGCCACAGCCTATACTTCACTCTCACCTCCTTGGTCGTTGCCTTGGGCTGCTTGGCATACATCTGGATTTGGATGTTCTTTTGCACTGCTGTTTATTTCCATGACCTGTCCCAGAAAGTGTTCGGTACCCTGTTTGGCTTGGTAGGCTGGTATGGAACGTATGGGTTTTGGTACCTGAAACCCTTTTCTCCTGGACTTCCTCCTCAGAGCACCAGTCTGAATTTGAAGCAAGATAGTTACAAGAAATAAAAGAAAAATTAGGGAGGGACAAGAAGGTTAATCTATCTCCGTTTATTTTGATTAGGTATCTTTGCTCAATTATCAATCCTGTCTCACTTGACAGTTTTAGCAAGGGCAGGGGCTGGGGGATGGCGGTCTCACAGCAAGGGAAAAGATGAAAAACATCTTACATTCCCCCAAAAGAAGCTGTCTGGGATCATTTAATGTAGGGGCAATAGCTCTGACCATGAATTGTACTGTTCAACAAGATTGGCCTGGGCTTTGTCTGACCGTGACCTGGGACTTCTCCTTTTTTTTTAGGTCTTTTGGGGACCAGGACTCAGAAAAATGCTGAAGGGCTGGTTATGCCTGGATGCAAGGTTAAGGCCTCAGAACTGTCTTTATCCTCTGTTGTCTCTTAGCTGCCAATTGTCTTTTCATTTGAGTGACTCTTAATATTATTTAAACGTTTGCCTTGGATACTCTTTGCATAAGTCTTTCAGGCTAGGATCTTGCCCATGGGGGGAAAAAGCCTGGAAAAACAGTCTCCTTGTAATATTTACATTTCTTCAGTTGACTGTAAATATTGCAGCCAGATTCTGATTGACTGCCTTTTAAACCGGAGTGCCTTAAAGACAAAAGTGTTAGATAACTTTTGTGCATTCACTGAAAGTGTGTGATTGTCCATCCTTGTTCTGTTGAAACTATGAGAATTCTTGTTTCTTTAAATTCTGTAAAAATGCTGGCAGTAACTAGGTGGTTGGTTAAAGCCTAAAATCATGTTCTTAAGGTTTACAAACCCCCAGTCATGTCTTTTGTTATAAATTTAAATTGTTTTGTTTCTTGTCTTTTTTTTTCCTTTGAGCAATAACTGACTTTTGAAAAACCAAAAATTGTGGTTTGTGATGTTAAATAAGTTGCAGGTAAAAAATTATACAGAATGGAAGGTAACTTAATTTTAAGAGGTTTATTAACTGATTCAAGATGATCTTGCCAGAATTAGTCTTTGTACTAAAATTTCATTTTCCTGAAAATCACTCAGTGATATAAAGAGTACCTTTGTCAGGTAAAAAATGCACATATTGGGCTGCCATGTATTGAAATTTTCTGTTTCTGAAGAAAAATCATGATGTGCTCTTTAGTGTTGAAAGAAAGTATTCCCCATTATGAGTAGTGGCAGGGAGCCAGTGCATTTAGAAAATACCCTAATTATGAGGCATGTGTTCTAGTCCTGGCTCCTCTGCTAACTCGCTTTGTGACCTTTGGCAAATCCTTTCCTTCTTTGGGCCTTGATTTCCTCATCTGTAAAACAAAGAGTTGGAGTAGATCTCTATGAGCCTTCTTTTGGTTTTCAGTTGAATTTTATTTTCAGATCTACATTTTCTTCCTGCCACTTCCACCTAGCCCCTCTTCCAACTGAGAAATCAAGAAAAATGAAACAAACATGTTACAAACATGTATAGGTAAGCAAAATAATTTCTCACATTTAGCCATGTCAAAAAAAAAGTCTCAATCTGTACTCTGAGTTCAGAGTACCTCTTTATCGGGAGATGAGTGGCATGTTTCATTTTGGAATTGTGATTGTTCATTTTGTTGACCAGTGTTTCTATACTTTTCAAAAGTGATTACCTTTACAATATTGCTATTACTCTATAAATATTCTCCTGGTTCTGCTCACTTCATTCTGCATCAGTTCATACAAGCCTTCCCAGGTTTCTCTGAAACCATCCCTTTCATCATTTCTCATAGCACAATAGTATTATATCACAAACATATGCCATAACTTATTCAGCCATTCCTCAATTGGTGGGTACCCACTCAGTTTCTAATTTATTACCACCAAAAAAAAATAACTGCTATAAATATTTTTTGTACATACGAGACCTTTTCTTCTTTCTTTGACCACTTTGGAGTATAGGCATATTAGCAGAATTGCTGAATCAAAGAGTATGCATAGTTTAATAGCTTTTTAGGCATGGTTCCAGATTGCTTTCCAGAATGACTGGACCAGTTCACAGCTCCACCAAACAGTGCAATAATGTACCTGTTTTCCCACAGCCCCTCCAGAAAATTTGTCATTTTCCATTTTGTCAGCTTGACCAATCGATTCTATGGATGTTAGATGAGAGCTTTGTTTTATTTTGCATTTCTGCAATTATTAGTGATTTAAGCATTATTTCATATGGTTGTTGAAAACTTAGATTTCTTCCTCTGGAAACTGCCGGTTCATATCCTTTGACCATTTAGCAGTATAAATTTGAATCAGTTCTCTCTATCTGAGATCCTTTCTGACTCGGACATTCTTTGTGCTTAATAACAACAATAATAAATGGTAATGATGATTATAATAATGGTAACTTACATAGCATTTTAGGGTTTACAAGGTACTTTCCTCATGACCCTATGAAGATCCCTCATTTTACAAATGGGGAGAATGACTTCTGATTCAAATCCTTTGCTTTTTTCCATATATCATACTGCCTCCGTGTTTTGTATTCTGGCATTTGTTTTCTCCCTGTAATAGTCCATGTTCCAAGGTTTCTTCCTGCTCTGACACTCTGTTTTATTAGTCTGTGTTCTGAAGTCTCTTCTAACTCAAACATTATATGTTTCTAAGCTTTACCCACATCCTTCCATTCTGTCTGTATTGCTAAAACTCATTTTCTCTAGATCAGATTCCAACTTTGTTGTTTGTTAGTAATGTCACCTCTTCCCAGTGGAGCACCCAAAAGTTGTAATAATCTGGTCACCTTCACTCATGGGCTGCCTCATTAAACCTTTTAGTCATTTGAAGAAAGCCAGTCTTAAGAAGCTACTTTATCCTCAGCTCTAACCTTAGCAATAGTATTAAGTAACGAACACTACACTTTACTGCCATAGCTCAAGCTTTTATGATGAGCTCTAGAAAGCAGTGGCTGCAAATCTCCTGTTAAGATGTATTTAAGTTATGTGTTCCTGCCGCAGAGTATCAGGTTAATTGTTAATGAATGAAATAATAGATGTAATTATACTCACTGTGACTCTGGCTAGTGGGATTGCATTGTGTGTAAGAAGTGTTGGCAGGATTTGATGGACCCTGACAGTAATCCAGTTCCCCTTGTGAAATTTGGACCAGCCAGGTTTGTCAAAGGCACCTCCCTCTTTTCCTGCCACCTAAAACCGAGAAATGTTTTTCAGGTTCTGACTTCAGCATCTATAGGTAACTGTCACAAATATACTTTATTACTCAGGAAGTTTGTTTGTCAGACTTAAATTTTGGAGTGTTTTTCTCATACTCTTGGTCTGCTTTGGGTTCAGTGTCTTATTCACTATGAGTTGTGAGAGTCAGTTATACATAGTAAGTTTAAGACAGCAGGAAATATTTGGTTCTCCTGTATGAGCTATAATCACCCCTTGCCCTCAGGATCTCCAGTCTTAATCCTTTTTATGAAGGAACAAACAACACATTTGTCCTCTTCTAGGCTGAGACTTAGGACATCTTGATTCAGCATTCAACAAATATTTATTCAGTGCTTTTCAGTAGTTTTGTAGTAGGAAGCTCACATCTTGATTAAGTTACCATCTTTAATGGTCCCTTTTTCCAGAACTGCTAGGCTGGTGACCCATTATATTACACTTCTGCCTGGCAAGAACAAGGCTGGCTCTCTGGCAGCTTTACAAAAAAATCAGAGTCTATTGGACCCCTAAGGCTCCATTTTTCTGAATCCTTATGGCTTTTCAGGGTCCCCCTCCTCCCAGGGGCCCCTTTCCACTTACAATTGTCAAAGAGGAAGATGTGGTGGAAGAAATTAGGACATCGTTTGGGCGAAAAGCAAGAGTTACATCTCCTGTACTCCATTTGGATGCCATTTTGGGTGTCTCTCATGTTCCAAACTCAGCCTTGTTATGTATGTTGAAAGGTAAATATTGTCACCAGGTGCTGAAAAAGAGCCTTCCAAGGGTATCTGGGGTCACAAAACCATGTCATTGTTTTGTCTTCCAGTATTGAGATTCATTCACTTGGGAGCCTTATTCTCCAGGCACATCTGTTATAGTCTGAGTACCAGATTGTATTTAAGAAATGGCTCTTGACGTTGTTAAATACACAGTGGATTGTGTGTGTAAACAATAGAATTAAAGTAAACTAAAAAATGAAAATTCTTGTTTCTGGCCTTTGTTTCTTCTTCCCTCTCTTAAGATGCCTGTGAGCTGGTTGAATTACAGTTGACTTCGTGAGCATTAATTAGCCTGTTCCTTCTTGTGTCATTCCTTTAATGAGAATGCAATGATAATTGTAAAACACTTAGCATAGTGTCTGGCACATAGTAGGTAGTTAATAAATGCTTGTTCTCTTCCCCCATCCCCTTTAATCACCCTAGCCAGGGTGAGCAATATGGTCTGATTTATTTTTAATCTTCAGATTAAACTAGAATGAAGTTCAGTGCTTGAGCAATACCCCTGAAGGTGTTTCTGGCCAACTTGGTTGATGGGAATCAAGTGTTGCCCAAGCCTAATTCTGTGAAACATCAGATCTAGAGCTGGAAAGGACCTTAGAAAATTACCTGATCTAGCTCCCTTGTTTTACATTCAAGAAAATGGAGGTCTGCAGAAGTTAAGTGACTTGCCCACAGTCTCACATAAGGGATATAGGATTTATGACAAGTTCTTCTCCAACTCAAAACCCAGTGTTCTTTTCATTCTACTGTACTGAGCTCATTCCTGCATTTAGCACACTGCTATTCCCACACCTTTACTACACTAAGTCTGCCCTTAAAACTGTCCCCTATGGCTGGGCCTTTTGATGAGGCTATCTGAGAAGCTATAACTGAGCTCAGTTGGGAAAGAGTCGGAATTCCAGCAGATCCCTTATAACCCTGAAAGGAGAGGCATGAGAGGCCTCAGAGGAGACACAACAGACAGGGGCCCCTGATGTTCCCTCCAGTTCTAAGATTTTCACATGGAAGCTTATTTATTCTAAGGGGCCCTAGAAGGCAGAAAAAAGCTGAAAGTGGGGGTGAAGGGAGGAGGGAAAGGTAATAGGAGGCAGATTTCTGCTAAATAAAAGGATGGACGTCTTAATCTGTTGTTGAACAACTGAAATGGGTTAAGCACCTGTTAGTAGTGTCTTGGCCAGGGTTTTCACAAATAACTCTTTGTTCTCTTCCAGCTCTGAGTTTCTAGGATAAGTTAAATGATGATTAGTGTCAGCTTATTTGTCAGTCTGTATTTTATGAGCTCTCTGTGGGGCATTTGCAGACAATTCCATTCAGCACACATTTCTCAAGAGCCTCAGAGGCTCCCACATTAGACTCTTTAGCCCTGAAGAAGGAAAGCATCAGTGACATTCCTTGATCAAAGTCAAAGGCGATGCCCATGGTTTCTCGATGACTTCTAGCACGTAACTGGATACTTTATAGACCCTTGGATATCACTGGTTGAGGTCCTAGAGAGTGGAATGGTGAAATCATAAAAGGTTGGCAACACTAAGGGTGGAATTAGAGATCCCTAATTCCAGCTCCCTCATTTTAGCAATGAAGAATTAGACCCAGTGGGATTAAGTGACTTGCCTGTGGTCAAACTTTAATTAGAACCAAGCAGTAGAATAAAGAGATAGTAGGATGGGAATTAGGAGACTTCAGTCCTAATCCCAGCCCTGCAACTGACCCTAAAGCTGACATTGGGCAAGTTGCTTTTCTACTCTGAGCCTTAGTTTCTCTGAAAAGTAAAAGGGTTGAACCCGATGTTCTTTAAGACCACTTCTAGTTCAAAATCCTATGATATGGAGGGGGTGGAGGATCTTTCCCTTCTATCTGTGCCTGTCATCTTTGGGTTGATGGGAATCAAGTGTTGCCCAAGCCTAATT